TTACTATATACTACATATAGAATGCACTGAACAATAGATTTACAATTATCCTCTGCTAATATGAATGGGTTAAATGATCCGTAGTACATGGTATGTAGCCCTGTACCCCCTTTTCCACTTACAGAGCTAGGTTATTGTTTTTCTTTTAAATAAATATTCATGTAATTTTATTGGTATCTATCTACCTTTTAGCTGCCTCATTTCCCACCCTCGGCTTATACTCAAGTCAATATTTTTTCCCAGTTTTTTGTGGTAAAATTAGGTACCTCGGCTTATATTCGGGACGGCTTATACTCGAGTATATACGGTATGTAAAAAGGTGAATGCGTAAGAGGTTCGATTCCCCCATCTCACAGTTACTGCACTGTGTGGTTTAGATGTATGCAGTCACTTTTAAAGCCGAATTCCAGGCAAACCAAGACATACACAGATACAATGCATACATGGGAGCCATCTTGCCTGCTAAAATATTTATATTTCTGTCCATTGAGTCATGGGATTTCCACAGCTCTGCCCTGCAGGGCAGAAGACCTGGCAAACTCTAGTCCTCCAGCTGTGGCAAAACTACAAATCCCATAATGCATCTGCCTATGGAGTCATGCTGGTGGCTGTCAGTCTTGCAATGCCTAATGGGATTTGTAGGTTTACAACAGCTGGCGGGCCATAGTTTGCTTAATACTGTTCTAGGGACTCCACATACGGCTGTTTAAATAGTCATACATGGAGAAACTCACTATTTTATTTTTTAAATGGTAAACAATTACCATTTAGAATGTACTGTAAAGCATCTCAACTAGCGTCTTTTTCTGGAAATGTCATCCCCATATTATTTCTTTACTAATACTTTAATTTATTTAAAGAGCGGTTCCTTCCAAGCAGTCTGGGTGCAGAGTAGTAATGCAGGTACAGACCTGTGGAGCGTTTCAGGAAAACATTCTCTGCTCACTCAGTAGTCCCCCCTATAGTGTGTGTGTGTGTGTGTGTGTGTGTGTGTGCACGCGTGTGCTATATCACACACATACACGGGTCAAACAAACCATGTTTTAAAGGTGTCCTACGTTGTAGTGGACACTAGCAATAAGCTGCGTTGGGTGAAGTTTCAAGAAGGAGAAACCGAAATTTCATGACAGCGTCCCCATCAACATTCTTTAGCCAATCATGGATTTTCTTAGGTGCGCAACCCTCTTTCACCAGAAATCCAATTACAGCTCATTGTTTGTTTTAGCTGCAGATTCATGGTTCTAATCACATAATCTGATAAAGAAAAGAATACATTAGTGGGGTAAGGACACCTCTATAACATGGTACATGAACATTCACAGTCACTCTAATAGATCTCAAGCTACAGACATACTGTGTTTCCCCGGAAATAAGACGGTGTTATTTTATTATTTTTTGGCTCAAAAAAACACACTAGGTCTTATTTTTGGGGTAGGTCTTATTTTTTTTTAATGTACATCAATCCAAAGTTAATGCAAATCCAAATTAAATAATCCAAAATGGCAAAGTTAGAATAGGGTGATCAGGGCAATACAGGGGTGCTATAGCTTTCCAAGAGCAATTTGTTAACCAGAATAAGCGTAGCGCGCTTTCACCATCGATTCCTCACAGGTGGAGTGCATTTGGTATCGCTCCGCCTGTGACAGGAGACGGCGCTATAGAGGAAACATCGGCTTATGCAGCTCTGCCCCCTCTGCTGCCGCCTGGCTTCCTCTAGCGCCGGCTTCGTTGGCACCGCTGATTCTCTCCCGCAGCTCTTCAAGTTCCTCCTTATGATACCACCGGCCCTGGGAATGGTCACACCTAGGTCTTATTTTTCGGGGTAGGTCTTATATTTTAGCAATTCCCAAAAACAGTACTAGGTCTTATTTTCGGCGTAGGTCTTATTTTTGGGGAAGCACGGTAGAGGCATTATTTTTTGATTGAGATATTATATTTTTTTTATTTTATATATTTTTTTTATTTGGCATAATGTAGTTGCTGACTGATATTCTGCTATGCCTGTATCCGTCCCCTTGGTGGCAGTCCTGCTCAGTCTAGCGAACCCGTCTAAACCGCAGCTTGGTTTCAGTACATGAAACCAGACGGAACCCAGAACTGTGAGGTGCAGGTTAATGGTTATGATTCATCTAAAAAGTGAAAGCCCTCCATAAAAAAAAACAATCTTCACCTTTTTATTTTTCCTGTGGTTTGATGTGAACTAGATTCCTCAAACAGGAAGACAGAGCGCTGACCTAAATTGGTACATTTTTGTCTTCAGTTAACAGAAATTCTAATTAGGTCAAACACTTTCATAGCTTCATCGGAACAACAGACCTCAAACCTGTGAAAATGACAATCGGCATAATTCAGTAAGGGCCCATTCACATCACAGCGCGTGCTTTATTGTGCACATTACTCATGCTGCATTGTTAAGGCCCCATTCACACTGAGCGACATAAAAATCGCGCGATTTTGAGCGATATTGGGCGACAAGCGATATTGAGCGACATCACGCGACTTTTTCCTATTGGGCTGTATGCAATCAGGAGCAATATCGCTCAAAATCGCTCTAAAAAAGGGTCATGTAGGAGCGACAAGCTACCAGCGACGAGCTACAAGCGATATTGAGCGACGAGATGTGAACAGCTCCATTGAAATGGATTGGAGAAGCTACATAGAGCGATATCGCGTGGAAATATGAGCGATATCGCTGCAAAAATCGCTCCATAAATCGCTCAGTGTGAATGGGGCCTTAAACGTGTTGCAGTGCTTTTTGTTTTGTTATGTGTTGCAATGCATTGTGACATGCTGTTCTTCACACAAATGCAGCATGTCCTAATTTATATTTTTTCAGCCCACCTCTGCAGTGCACTGGTGTGAACTGAAGCAATTGGACATAAGGCAACTTGCTTTGCTCTTGTGGTGGGACTGCATTGGGCAAAATTAAACGGTTCCTTTTCTTGCTTTCCTCCATTAACACCTTATTTCACCGGCCTGAAAATGAATTTGTGTGGGGTTACAGACCACCTCTGTACTTTTTTTCTGCTATGTTAAAGAAGATCTCTGAGCAAATCAAATCCTAACCCTTGCACTGGGTTACCCCTACACCGCAAGGGTTAAGTGCTCATTTTGTCAAGGGAGCTAAAATACACACTTCTAGTCACCCAAACTGTGATCCTGGCTTTCTCGTAGACCGCTGCCTTCAGCCTCGCTCCCCCTCTGCCCCAGCAGTTGTAAGTCCTGTAAGTCATCACGTTCTATACAGTGTATAGGACATTCTACTGCAGGAGGAGAAGATAGGCTGGAGGGAGCGATGTAGAAGCCAGCCGGGATCGCGGTTCGGGTGAGTAACTGTATTTTAGCCCTAGGCAAAACAAGCACTTAAGCCCTGCAGTACAGGGGTAACCCCACTGAAGGGATTCTTGCCGCAGGGATCCCTCGGTCAAGATACGGCCATTGTGCCCGTTCAGGTTAATGCCGCATCTGCCAGTGGTAGTGTGCATGGAATCGTACATGGAATGATTATCTGCGGTTCAGGATTGTTCCTGGATACAGTCTGCCTGTGTCCAAGGACAATCATCTGTGAATGTACCCTTAGGGTAAATGGGCATGTTTTGATTTCTGTCTGCGTCTTGTTTGTAGGGATTTCTCTGCACTTCCTTCCCCACGGTGACAACGTCACTGGATAGCAAGTGAGGGAGAAATGTTTGGTGAGGACATTGACAGCGAGGAAAATGGAGGTTCTAGCATTACATCACTCTATTACAAAGACACACAGGGGGGGAGGCATTTTATAAAAATTGGATCAGACAGAAAATGGAGCATATGTGCATGGCAACCAATCAGCACCTCTGTTCAGTTTGCTCAGGTAAGATTTAGCATTGTGAGATTGAAGCTGATTGGTTGCAGTGCAAATCTGCTCCAGATTTTGCCTGCCCCAGTTTTGATAAATTCCCTCCAAAGTATTTTGTTATTGTGTTACTGCTAGAGCGATTTTCCCCAAACTCTTCTCAGTGACCACATTGTAACCAAGACAGGAAATGAGAAAACACCTCCCCTACTGGTAGACAGATGGCAAAAAAAAAGTTTTCATCTTTTCCCCACGCTGCTTAAAAATAAAAACTATGTTTCTGTTGGTGGTGTTCTATAAAATCATCTGACATTCATGATGCAAGAATTCATCTCGGTCTCTATGCACTTGTTCTCTCAGTCACAGCATTTTTGGTACTGCGCATATCGCAGCTACTTCTTAGTCCAGGGCTGACTCCGTATCTGTTTCTCCTTTTCCTCAGGTGATGGAGGACTCCATGGGCTCTGCCATGACACTGACCACCCCCCAGGAACAGGTGGATAGTCTTATTATACAGATTGCAGAGGAGAATGGACTGGAGGTGATGGATCAGCTGAACCAGCTCCCGCAAGGAGCATCATCGGTAGGAGAGAGCTCCACCCGCACTCCGGAGGACCAGCTGTCACGCAGGTGAGGAACTGTACCTCTGTTTACAGCAATGCACCATCTATGTTATGGCGGCACTGCTTTGTGGTGCAATGTGCTTCTTTGGATGGCAATGCCCTATTTATCTTACATCTACAGTCATGTGAAAAAGTAAGTACACCTCATGGAAATTGCTGCCTTTTTTTGAACAAGCAACCATTCGATCTTCATTCAACCAGTGCCTACTGAGAAAAGGCAATATACCTGCGAATAAAAAAAAAAAAAAGCCTTTTTCATTCATTAAATAAAAGAAGAACTTTGGACAAGATGTATTAACCCTTGCAGTGGGGCTACACCCACACTGCAAGGGTTACCTGCTCATTTTGGTCTAGGGAGGAAATAACAAGGTTATACTCGGGGATCCTCCGAGGCACTCCGTCCAGCCAGCACTCCCGTGACAGCACTCCGTCCTGCCTGTCTTGTCCTCCGCTCCAATGATGATATGTCTTTCGGCCTCCTCACGTCCTATACACTGTGTATAGAACGTGATGACTCAGGGATCCGAGGGGGGAGAGAGAGAGGCTGGGAGGACAGGTCTAAGAGCAAGCTGAGTCCGAGGTTCAGGTGAGTATAACTTTTTTTTATTTTCATCCCTAGACCAAAACGAGCAGTTAACCCTTGCAGTGGGGGGTAGCCCCACTGCAAGGGCTAATACAAAATTTGCCTGAAGTTCTATATTAATGGATTCATTGGTATAGTGTGGAAAATGTGCATATATGGTCTTGGCCTCCAGAAGCTGATATGGCCCCCTTTTAGCAGAAATGACTTCTTGTAGCTGTTTTGCATAGTTGCCCACCGGTCTCTGACATCGACTTCTCCATGCAAAATTCCTCCAGCTGTACAGTGTTTGTGGGTTTCCTCGCATGAACTAGTCCTTTCACCCCCCCCCCATCGGATTTGAACAAGTCAGTCCATAACCCTTCTTCTTTTTTGAGCCATTTCCTAATAAATTTGCTTGTGTGCTTTGGATCATTTATCATGTTGAAAGATGCATTTCCAGCTTTTACACGGGTGGCCTCACATTCTTATCAAGCACACTCTTATAGGAGGCAGGATGTATAATTGGCTTGATGTCTGCAAGCTATCAAGGCCATGAAGCAGCAAAGCAACCCCAGACTATAATGTTTCCACCACCATGCTTTACATTTGGTTTGAGTTTCTGTCTTTGATCACAGTAACAGTAAACATGTGTGGTGCTAACCAAACAACTCTCTTTGGTCATCTTCAGCAGATTGTTCCAGGCCTGGTCTTTGCTTTTATGTTCAGTAGTCTTGCTGTAGTGTTCTTTTTAGGCACCAAAAACAGGTACACTTCCCATGCAGGTTTAATTGGTGCAGACTCTTTCTGATTTAGACAACTATACTTTGATGCTAAAGGAAGTCTCCAAAAAAGGAACCCGACATTTAATCAAGGGATCTGCAAGTAACTCTTGTATTAGTTGATATCTACAAGTCGGCTCTTGGTCTGAATTTGCTGGGCTGGTCAGTACTGGGCACATTTGCAGCCATTTACAATCTACACCTCTTGTAGTTGACTTTTCTTATAGTGCAATGATTGGTTTCAAATAATTTGGACATCATATCAATTTAAGTCGCTTACCAGACTCCTAGGCATCCACAACTTTCTTTCTGGGGCATCGGAGAGTTTTTGATCTGTGCATGGTGACAGCACATATGTCCATAAAACAGAGAACATCAAACTCTATATTCCTGAGGTTTAAATAGGACGGGTTCAACCTGCAATACTCCCTACAGAGGATCTCATGAGTGACAGCTAATCTGGAACACCCTGGTTGACATTTCATGGATTTGAAGTGGTAGGAGGCGTAATTACTTTTCTACATGACAAATCTTCATATTCGTTATTTTCGATTACGAGAATAAATTAGGAATGCACCGATACTAGTATTGATACCGGTGACGGTAACGGGTATTTGGGTGAGTGCTCGTACTCGCCCCAAATGCTCCAATACCTCTCCCTCAGACCGGAAGTTCCGGTATCAGGGGTCTAACCGGCAGTGCCGCAAGGGAACATGGAGCCGGCATCCCGGCCAATCAGGGTGGCGGGTAATGGCCCGCCGCCCGGCTTCCTGATTGGCCGGGAAGCTGGATCCATGCTGTTTGGCTGGCTCCATGCTGTTTGGCGAGGAAGCTGGCTCTAGGCTGGTCGGCTTCATGCTGTTTGTCCAGGAAGGCGGGCGGCGGCTAATGACATGCCGCCCGGCTTTCTGATTGGCCAGGAAGGCGGCTCCATGCTAGCGGAAGTACTGGCATCGGCGAGTACCGAAAGATATCGGTACTCGATACCGAAAAACCGGTATTAGTGCATCCTGAGAATAAATAAACCATTTCTATTTTATGCGTCATTTGTATATCGTCTTCATCTGTAAGCACTGTTTGAATAAAGATCTAATGTTTGCCTGTTCAAATATGTTAAAGTCAAAAATGTCTAAGGGGAGTGCTTACTATGTCACGTGACCGTATGCTGCTTTGTATGGCAGTGTAACATCACTGTCATTTCTGTGCTGCTTACTGTGCGTACAAAGTAAGGCACCTTAACCACAAAGGTTTGAAGCAGCCCTTAGATACAGGCGTGTTTGTTTTAATGCAGCGGCCAAGCAACTTCTGGGTTCCATAGTAGCAGTAGGGAAAAGGAACTTCTCTTCACTGCTATACATGTGTCTGCAGCTTCTATTGTAAATCATCTAGTATTCAGTAATGTGTATGTGTAGAGGGGCGGGGTTGTTGAGGATGCAGACATTCACTGTAGTAGCCTGTGCTTCATACAGTCAGCGCTGGTTTCTTTCTGGTGCTGCTTGTGCGACTTACCGTCTGTGTGCCGAACACAGGTGGTCCATCACTCGGCACCCCCAACCATCATCGATTGGACAAGGCAAATTATGTCACAGTCTCTGCCTTGTCCAATCAGAGAATGCCATGTAATTATTAAAAACAACATAAGACGTAATACATGTTTTCACATGATATTGCAATTTTAAAAGTTGTTTCCAGTCTTGTTTGAGCTTAAAAATATGCGGTGATTCCGCCATGAATGTACTCGTGCAGGCACTTCCTTTCATGTGATGGCAACTGTCCCCCAATTTTATGTCCACAGTTTCAAGCTGTTACATGCTCCCCTGATTGGGGTTACAGGCAGCTGTGCTGACACAGGCATCATTCGCCATTGTCACTATAGGGAGACTGATCCAGAAATGTTGTGCAGCCAAAGCTGGATGCACGTAGACAGGAAGTGGCTAAAAAAAAAGGCTGGAAATGAAGAACGGTGACGGGATGCAAAATAAATAAATGAGGGAAAAACAATATTTAAAGGGAAAAAACAGAAAAGTGTTTATAATTATTTATTACCTTGTAAAATGTTATCTAGTTGGGGTTTAGATCTGAATGAATAGTTCTGTTTCCTGTATGCATTCTGATGTTCATAAGGCAAAAATAATCTCTTGTCTTCAGACGCATGCGGGAAGTAGCTATTCCCAGCCCTGGGTTTCTGAGCACAGTTGTCCTAACTTGAATCCTTTTTTTTTTTTTTTTTGTCTTTTCAGACTGGCTGCACTGAGGAATTAACGTCCTACTTATTCTGCACCCCAGTCTCCTGGGCTGGAATGTTCTGGAGCTTCGGGTACACTGGGGTCACTTTATCACTCTGTGGCCTTCACCGATCATTTTGGGAGGATACCAGGCCCCTGGGCTATACTGCTGCTTATCTCCAGTTTCTCTGCTGTCCCGGATCCTGAAGTTGGCCTGTTTTGTTCAAATGTCTTGGTGCATGATATTAAAGCCTAGGGATTAGCACTTCACAAAGAGGGGATATGTAATCTCTAATCATATACAGATTTCATATTCTGGCACCTCTTCCTTGCTCCCAAAACAAAGAAGACACTATTCTGTTTGCCTTTCTGCTTTGCAATTACTACCCAGAAAGCATCTGGCAGCAGACAAGGACATTATAGCCTACATAACATTAAATATATCAAACTGTCAGACTGAAGTCAGGCTTAATAGATTAAAGTGAAGATCCACCTAAAGCTGATGTTTAAGTTTCCAGCAGATGCAGGCAGCTTGTATTCTCAATGTCTTGTTGTATCTCTTGGGGACTCTAAAGTCAAGATCTCCGCACTTATGTTCTCAGCTTCGCCCACCGGCTGCAGCTCATCACATCTTCCTGCAGGATTCTCTGTTGTGTTTAAAGTTGTGGAGAGTGCAACAGGAGGACTGAGGTACCTATGGTTTTTAATGGCTGCCGGGGGGGGGGGTTATCTCTGAATTCACTGAGAGCAACTGTAAGTCAGGGGGTTCAGGCTGCAAGTATCTGGCCATCATTGTCTCATCTCATTCTGGTGCACATTGAATGGATGCATTTACACAAGATTATGTTCTATGTTTGCTTTGTATTTTCGGGTTCGTTCACACCACAACGTGTTCATTATTAACTACACCACAATGCCTATATACCGTGCGCTGTAGCACACCACAATGCACATGCTCTGTGTGTTGTACTCCGTTTAAAAAAAAAAAGAATGGCGCAGGACCTATTTTGTATGCATTGAGGCACATTGACGGCTCATTTAAAAGGAATGAGCCTAATGCATCGCGCCTCAACTTTAAACCACGTGTGGTGTGGTGTAATCAAAATCTTAGCGCGCCCTAACGCCATTGTCTGCAGAGTTTCATATTCTCATAACTCCTGATTTTTGTCTAATTACTCTCTTCCTTTGGAGATCACCACGGCTTCCAGAAAGAAGACCTATCTAGATCCTCCTACTGAAAAGAGCAAACCAAAGAGCAGATACTTTCTTAGTTCTAACCATACCTAGTAAAATAAAAGGGAAAAGCCGAGGTGGCTGCTAAGGGCAGTTCAGACACTTCATACGGCTTGTAAATCATTGCCACGTGTACTGTTCATATTTCACTATCTTAATATTGTTTGATAGATTAGTTAGTTTTTGGTTGATGGAGTTTCAGTGCCGTTATTGGGCAAGGGAATCTTCCCTGTAAGCTATAGTGTGACCTCAATAACATCACCTCACGCCTCAACTGTAAGGGACTGCTCCATCTGACAATACTATGGTATGTTCTGGTAGACAAGGACCTTTCTGTCTGATGACAAGCCACCAATTCTGTCTGCAACCTGAAGGACTTATGAGCTACATGTGGCTGGGTGACTAGTTCTTGTTCCTGCTGTGCACTTGTATAGGTTGGCCAAAAATATGTCATATCCTAGGGCTGCTTGTGTGGTAGTAGGGACTATAGGACATGTCACAGGTCAGCCGACAAGCTTATCTAAGGACGGGACAGATCATCGGGCAGTAAAGTCCCTGACAACTAGTCCAATACTAGAATGATTATCTGAGTGGTCCTTCTTCTGCAGGTTTGTGGTTCTCTTATGCTTGGGAAAGATTTCCCTGCTTCATAGCACTAATGAGGCTGTCATTGTGCGTGGAGTATCCATTAAAGCACACAGAGCCACATCCAGTACCGGGGAGCTAATTGCTACACCTCTGGATGTCCTAAATTCTCTTCTGTGTGGAAGAGAGATGACAATGGAGATGAGAGAGAGAGAGAGAGAGGAGATGAGATGAGACTACTCTGGTTTCTGGTGAAGAAGGTTCATTCTGTAAGTTAGGAAATCTTCTGGTCTTCTAGATCTTCATTCTGCAAGTTAGGAAATCTTCTGGTCTAGATCTGCCAAAAGTGGCCATTTTCAGGGCTGCCTCTTGGCACAGATCAGATTGGCCCATAGACTATGGTTGAGAGCCTGGAATACAGTGTTCACTTTAGGACATCTCTCCTGCAAGGCTCTTCTCTCTCTAAGACATCCCAGGAAGTAAATAAAGTGGTCTCAGATGAGAGTCTACAACAGGTCAGTAGCTTAAAGCTGAACTCCAGATAGATAAAGAAAGATTTAAAAAAAGCATTGTTTTATACAGATGTATGTTCCTTTAAAATAATAAATGTGTTTTATACATAACACTACTAGTGATGACGACCCCAGTCCAAACCCAGAAGGAGCTGCTCATAAAAACAGGAAGTTCCTTCCGTGCCGCCCAATCAGCTGCTGGTGTGGAATCCCCCCACCCAGCGTAACATAAGCACAGGGTCAGGTTGCAGTGAGGTCATTGACCGTATATGGTTATATGCCTATATTTGGTAAATGACATTGACCCAATATGGTTATGTTACCATATTAGATAAATGACGCCCATGGCGCTTCCTTGTTCAAAGGAGCTTAGATTCAGACCCGGTTCAGTCTGAACCTGAGCTTATCCCTAACACCTTAACCTGTATTGATATTGGCCTCCTGTCACCCCCAGCACAGCAGCACTCACACGGAGAGGGAAAGGCAGTATTAGGAGCCACTTAGGTGCTGAATGAATATGGAGAAGTATTCTGTCCACATCTGGAACGTGCATTCCCTTTACATTCATACCCCAAGTCTAAAGGAATCTGAACAGGCCGATAAGTGAGCGGTTTTATAATGTGCTCACAATGAATTTAGTGTTCTGCTGGAATAACAACCACACCAAGATTGTAAAAACTCATTTTATAAAGGAACATCCACCCCTTCTCCCTTTCTGGGTGACTGTTCACTGCTCTGTGCCATTGGAAAGGATGTTGCGTCCTGTGCACACAGCCTCACGCACATAACACAAGTCGGTTTTGTAGAAAATTCCATAACTTCATTGATTTTAGATGAGTTTTCCTTTCCGCAGCTACAAGGAGGACAGACGTAGGACTGATCTTTCTATTAGTTGGAGGATCCCGGTCGGCCCAATCACACTATTGCATAGAGGTAAATCACAGTGCGGTACCATTTTTGCATTTTATTTTGATTGGCACCCAAATGCACTAGCACAGGGGTAGGCAACCTTGGCTCTCCAGCTGTGCTGAAACCACAAATCCCATCATGCTTCTGCCTCTGGGATTCATGCCTGTGTCTTGCAGTGCCTTATGGGATTTGTAGTTTCAGCACAGCTGGAGAGCCGAGGTTGCCTACCCCTGCACTAGCACATCATAATGCACTTACTTCAGCGCCTCGCACTGCACAGATGGGAACTGTAGTGCATGTACGTTTTCCGTGCATTAAGATCTGCTTGAAGCTCAATCGGAATGGGCTGCCTTACTGCACAACAAGTGTTTTGGCAAGGCGTAGTGTGACCGGGGCCTGTATTTTATTGTTGTGTTATTGTATTTGTAAGATTTGTCTTCTCTCCCGGGAACTAATGGGTTATAGCGTGTCACTTACATGTGCCTGTTAACCTCTAACATGTTGGCAGGCAGTGTCATACTTGCTGCACCAGCGATGCCTTCAGGAACATGATGATCGAGTGAAAACAAGTTGGCCAAAATTTTTCAGAGGTGCTGAGCCAGGACTTTGTAACTTCTGTGTTTAACGCAGAACTCTGTCCAAAAATGAATTTGTTTTGTATAGAATGGGAAAGGGTTACAACGGGTTTAAATGACTGCCTTGCTTTGGAGGATTTCCCTTCATTGTGACTGAGATGGGAAGTGAGGGGAATTTCTGCACATTGGTGAGATGTTCCGCCTTGGTGACGACAGTCACTGGTACGGTAAATACCCGATGGTTCCAAACTCTTCTGCACTCTGTTAAAAACCAAGGAAAATATTCTGGCTGGAGTTCTACTTTAAGAGCTGCATGCGGGCCAGGTCTTCAAGGTCAGTAAATGTTTTTCTCTTGGTAAACTAAATTTTACTTTAAAGCCCCGCTTCGGGCGATTGTTTTTCTAAATGGGGACCCCAGCAGACCCTGTGTCTGCAATGTGGGTGGAGCCACCAGTCCCTTTTAAAATGATTGATCACCGAATTTCCAGTTCAGGGTAGACTGGCCCTTTAAATGCCCAGCAGACTGTTCTTCCCTGGTCTCCCTCTGTGTGATGCGTGCCACCATTTATTCCATGCTGTTGCTCCTTTGTTATTGTGCTGTAGATCTCAGAGCATCCCGATATAAATCAATTGTATTTTTTTATTCAAATTTGCCTTTTTTTTGCTTCGACTTTTTTTGGGTGTAATTTATCTGTAAAGAGATGTTTGTATTTACGTTTCAAAATAAATTCTGATAATTCGTAAGAGGAGTGTTTTGTGGTTGTGTATATGTTCTTCTTGATGCTAAGGTTCATACTGGCTTCAGGATGTGATAAATGTTTTACCCAGCTAATTTTGGCATGGTGCGCACATTGGGCCGATTTCAAATGTACACGTTGCGGTGTGCAAATGGAAAAGTATGGACACCGGCACTCCATAGACAGAAGTACGTCTCTTTATCGACACACTTGCAAAACATGCTCATTGCGACGTTTCTGGGTCACACAGGATCCCCTTCAGGCAGAACAACTTGTTCTGCCTGATGAAGGGGATCCTGCGTGACCCCGAAATCCAAGCTGTGAGAGTTGGAGCTGCTTGGAGACATAATGTGACTAAGTGCTTGGGCACAAATGTAAAGAAATGCTTTCCTGGACAATGTATATTTGTTTGATCTGGATTCGGTATTAGAAAAAAGTTTGAGAGTCTTACATTACTTTAAAGGTGCATTTTCCTATTCTGAGCTCTACAGTCAGATACAAGAACGCAGCAAACTCTGACCATTGCATGACCAGCCTGGGACACATCAGCGGATGATTCAGCCATTTATCAGTCTTTTCCTGATGGAGACATGTAAGCTTGTATACTACTATCTATGCGTATTTACACTTCGAGACAACGACCCAAGTGGAATTACCAAAAGATATTTGTTGCATTTAGACAAAAAGTTTTAAAAAAACCTTCTCTATGAGCCTTTCAAAATCTAGTTTCATCATGAAACTCGGGGCCTGTCTTCAGAAGTAGGCTTCTTCAATGGACATTCCCCTGTCCAATGACCACTATATCACTGTCATTGGACAGGGGGGTGGTTGGCAAAGTTGAGAAGGTCTGATTAGATATTTGTGGCAGACGCAGACCTGGCAAAAAATGATTAATTTAGTTAATTGGCTTCTTAGTAATTGTTCATTGTCTGTCCTAATGCACGTAACATATACTGAGGTCTCATCAGACTGCTACACATTTCTGGTGTAAAGCAGCCTTTCTCAACCAGGGTGCTGTGGCACCCTTGGGTGCCTTCTGGGTTTTGGTCAGAGTACCTCTAAATTTTCACACAGCGTCATGCATTTCCATGCTGCAGGGGAGCCAGCCATCAGCACCATGGAAATGCATAACGCTAATCCAAGGCAAGATCCAGAACCACCCTCAGCACTCAGAAGAGGACATAAGCCCGCCTCCATCCATGCCTTGCTGCCACAGTCGTATTGTGGTTTTCCACAATACCCCCTTAACATCCATACTAGGCTCCTATCAAGGATTAGGGTCTGGTCTAGATTTTTTTTGGGGGGTGGTTGTAGTTCCACAACAGCTGGAGTGCCAAAGTTGCCTGCCCTTGCAGTTTACAATCTCATTTACGTTTACCAAAACTATTTAAAATGAGGCCAAGTTTAAACAATCCGTTTAATTTAATTATAAAATCAGGAAGACGCTTGTGCTACATAGTTGACGGTGGATCTGAAAGCGCTTGTACTATCAAGTTGTATAGTGTAGGGTCACCTTTAGGAAGAGGATGAAGGAAGAGCTCAGCATTCCACTGCTAGCATGTGCTGGGTTTCTTTTCATTTGAAGAGCTACAAAACTGCTGAAGGGGGTACATCGGTCCCTTTTATCAAGGTACAATGACATCTAGGATTTCCTCTCAATACATGTTCTGTTGTCACCTTGTCACACCCTGACACACAGGGAATCCCTGGGGAAGGAAGTGGGAGGAAGTCTCCCCATTTGGGTGCAAAGAGCAATAAAAATCCCGCAGAGCTTCTATCCCTTCACCTTACCATCCAAAATTGAAAAAAAGGTTTTAATTGCAACTGGGCTTTAACAACAAAGAATGGGGACTTTAGGAGCCCATTCACACTAGTGTGCTGCACTAAAGGCTGTTTATTTTAAATAGCACCTAAATGAGGTTAGGGAGCTCAGCGATTGTTGTAAAAAAAAAATGCTGTATGCCCATGAACCAGTGACGTGCGGTACCTCTTGTTCCGGGTGAGGCATGTCCCAGCCTCGCCCCCAGCACATCTGGCCCCGCCCCTGCCAGACGAAGCTCCGCCCCATCCCGTCCCCAAGCTAGTGTAAAGGAGGACGGGCGGAGACGGAGGAGCCTCCCTGTCCCTCACTTGCTCGTTACTGCTGAGGCATCGAGATCGATGGCCTCAGTGGTTTTTCTTTTTTTGATTGGACAGCTTGGACCAATGGCGCTTTGCCATTGGTCCAAACCATCCACAGGACTCACGCCACTAACAAAGAGTAGAGGCTGTGACAGCTCTGGCTTCAATAGTTAGGTTACACAGCAGCGGGCTTCCCCACTGCTTGTGTAACCTAACTACCTGTCAAAAGCCGGATGTAATTAACAGGCAGCGCTCCGTCCATGACAGGTTACACAGCGGGGAGGATTTCCTTGCTGTGTAACCTGTTAGATGCTGAACTGAATGGAGAAAAAGCTGTCTGCTTCAGACTTGAAGCTGACAGCTTTTTCCTCCATAATTCTAGGTGAGGCTCTGCTTCCCCTGCCTCCCTACTGCGCACACCCCTGCCATGAACCCCTTAAGGACCAAGCTTCAGATGCTTGTCTTTCAGTTAAGGACCAAAGCAATTTTTGCTATGTGTGTTTAACCGCAATTTCCATCTTTCTCATTTATTGCAACAACACATATTATATATCGTATTTTAGAGGACAAAAGGGTCTTTCATTTGATGTGACATATGCATATATAAGTTCTCATTTAGCGCATGACGGAAACTTAAACCCATGATGGAATTATTCTGTCATGGGTCCTTATGGGGTTAAATGTTTGTGGTGCATTATCAGAACATTAAGACAATGAATGGGTTGCAATAACATAACACATGGTGACATAACACACATGTACTAGTATGTACGGGCCTCTAAACATAAAACATTTTCATGAATCTAATTGGGTATTTGAGGTCAGCTCTGGCTATTTCCATTATCAGCATGTAGTTTCAGCATTTTTTCAGTCCCTGTTCCATTTTGGCTTGGCGTCCACATCTATGTTCTTGGATTTGCTACAATACCAGAATTTTCCAGCTGGTAGAGCTGCAGGTGAAATCTGAAATATCTTCCTCATGGGCCACACGGACACTTTCCTCCAATCAGATGTTCAAACTTGAGAAAGGACGAGTGGAGTCCCTATGGGTTACTGAACAATACTAGGAGGAGTTTCCTTGGCTCGCGCCCCAATAGAACCGCCCTGTAGTCTAATCAACTTTCTGATGCAGAATGGCAAAACAAATTAACAGCCATCCTTTTAATTAAAAAACAAAAATAGTGCACAGTTTAAGTCAAAAAATTAGGCAATAGAAACAGCCCAGCATCCTCATCAGGTTCCTTTTTTGGCCCTCCACTGAGTATTTTGTCCATGATTGCAGCATCAGTCTTTGTGTCCTGTGATGAGTGAAAAAACCGCTTCACAGTGATAGGGCGCATATCAGACAGAGAAGGAGAAGCCCATATCCCAACAGCTGATTGTTAGCTGTGCCAGTGGGATCGTCAACTGGGATTTTATAGCCCCAGAGAGTGTGACAGCTACTGTTAATCTCCTTATAGGCGATGGGTTCATCTATAGGGGTATCCGCATTCATTCTAAGACTTGTCTGCAAGAAATAAATAGATGCATGATTGTTTTTGAATGGTTAAATAAATACAATAATCCATCATCCACCCATCAGGCCCCCACTCAACTTAGACCCCTACCTCTCAGACAGGCTGGACTCACTTGTGGCGCTTCCCTCCCTACCTTTTGTTCTTCTTTGACAACGGACGCCCCCGGTCCACACAAACGTGGAGTAGCACACTGAGGATTCCACCTTCCAGCCCCCACTTCCTAAACCCCCCGCCCCCTGAAGAAGAGCGCTGTGCAATGGGACAACTCTCCTAATTTTTCAATACTTCTTTGCTGCAGCTTGAGCCAACACTGGACCAATTTCCCATCCTTTCTCGTCCTGACAGAAAGTAAGAGAAAATCTCTCCAAAGGGGTACAGACTGCAAATTAATACTTCATAGGTTCTAGTCCTACATCACTCTGCCCGAATAGTGAAAAAATAAAAAAGTTTGGCTTTCATACTGAATGTTAAAAAAAGATTGATGTCCATATAAGTCAACCTATCAGTTGGTCTACAGCAAAACAAAACCACTGGAGTAACATTCTAGATGTGGTCACACAAGTGAAATACATAGAGGTATATTATATGGTCAAAAGTTTGTTTCGAACCATCACACCTACCTATGTGGCCAGAATTATGTCACCACTACTCCAAAAATGTGATTTCTGTTGTTTGTGATATAGGGTACTGTTAATATTACAGCATACTAAGGCATTTTAGACAATTTTGTTCTTCCAACCGTGTGGCAACAGTTTCAGGAAGGTCATTTTATGTTCCAGCATGACTGTGCTCCATGGTTTGATGGGTTTGGTGTGAAGGTACTGAAGTGGCCTGCACAGAGCACTGACCTCAACCCTGAACATCTTTGGGATAAATTGGAATAGCAAATATGAGCCAGGTCTTCTCATTTAACACCACTACCTAACCTCACAAATGTACTTTTGGCTGAATGGGCACAAATTCCCATAGACACACATTTCAAATCTTGTGGAAAGCCTTCCCAGATAAGTGGAGGCCGTTATAGTTGCACAGGGGGTCACCTTTATATCAGTGCTTATGGTTTTGGAAAGGGATGTCCAACAAGTTCATATAGATGTCTTGATCGTACACTAGACAGGCAGATTCAGAGTAATATACAGGTATCATCAGGTGACTGGACACTGGCCAGAGCTGTGAGGACCCTCATATAGCCCCTCCTACTCCAGGAAATCCATAAAGGGTTATTCACATAAGGGTGAAGAGTTTGGAGAAGGAAGGAGAAGTGAACAATCTAGGACAACATAGCTGATTGGAAAAATTCTCCAATTCAGCTCACGTTCCAGTTCAGCTATGTTGGCCTAGATTGTTCACTTCTCTGGCCTTCTCCAAACTCTTCACCCTTTTGTGAATAACCCTGTTAGTGTTTTAGCAAGCAATAGAGGGGAGGGTTCTGTACGCAAAGAAAAACAGATTTTACCTGTCAAAAATCCTACAGTACAGGCAGAGTCAGAGACAACTGGGCGATCCCCAAGCAATAGAAATCAGTGATGCCTGAACACGCACCTGGTAGAAATTGGTGCATGTATGAACAAATGGCCAGGGGGCAGCCTTGCAATATGCAACGCATATGCTCAATGCTGAAAAGCCCAATAAGCACTAACACATCTGGTAGAGTCTTTACAGGAAAAGACAGAACCTTCCCTTTCACAGAATAGGTATGCACAATGACCTGTCTGATCCACCTCAAGTTGGATAAAGGAAGCGTCCTGCGGGATAAACAAGGAGACAATACAATTGTTGGAACAAAGCTGTGGCCGACATATAAACTCGAACATCCAAACCACATTTAAACAGTGGAGGGAGACTTCCTTAGGATGTTTATGAGACAAGGCAAAATGAGGGAAGGATAATGCCCTCATTAGGATGAAAGGAAGACATCACCTTAGGCAAAAAGAATCCTTGGGACTGAGCACAATGCTATTCTTGTGAAGAACTAGAACAGGTTCCTTGCATGATAGTGCTGCCAGCTCCGAACTGTTCTACCAGAAATAATAGCGACAAGGGAAGCAACCTTGTGTGTAAGATCTGCCAGAGAGATATATCTGATAGGTTTACAGGAAGCTTGCTGAAAGTAACAGTTTGAGATCCCACGGCATCACTGGAGGGCGTCTAGGAGGGGCTACATGAGCAAGTCCCTGGAAAAAAATCTTAATCAGGGAATGAGAGGCCAAAGGCTGTTGAAAAAGATTGTTCAAGGCCAATATCTGCCCCTTGAGTGTACTTCGGACTAACTGTTAATTGAGTCCCAATCGAAGAAAGACCAAAATGTTTCCCACAGAGTATTTCTGAAGATAACATTTCCACTGTTCACATATAGCAAAGTAAGTCCTCCAGGAATGATGATACACCTTGCAAGAAATGGAATTCCCTTCCTGGCCTGCAAAAGTGTGGGAATCACAGAATTGAATTGAACCCTGTCCCTCGGGAGCTGGGCTTCAACCGTCAAGCCACCAAATCCAGTGACTGAGAAGCAGGATGGAACCCCAGACCTTGAAACAGGTTTGGAGGATTCTAAAACAGCCACAGGGAATACACCAATATCTGAAAGATATCCACTTACCATGTCCAGCACTGCAGGTAGAGTCAAATTGCTCTCCGCTCCAGAACATGGATAGTCTAGCTCCCCTCGCTGACTAGGTCCCCTCGCGGGGGGGCGTATTGTGGAACCTGGCCTTGGGGCGGCAGGGGGAGTAAATCCGGCCCTGCCCCTATACGGTCCCAACAGGCTGGCATGCATCTTTCACACCATTCACTGCAGTGGCAGAAAGGTCTTCCCTAATTATACCTGCATATTACCCAGTCATCTCTGAATCTACCCGTGTCCTATACTGTACTCCATAGAAAATGGTAGGTCCCGCCGCACTCCTCAAAGCATATCCGGCCAAATAGCAATGTCGGTGCTCGAAGTGATACTCATGGATGGCGCCGTGCACAGGTTCACAGGTCACATTGTCACCCTGATGAAGGGACCCTGTGCGGCCCCGAAACGTTGGTATTTTCGTTTGTGACGACTTGTCCAAATAAATGGATGTTTATTATTTGAACATCATTTATCGAGTGCTGGTGATTCCTGCTTTTCTATACTGTACTCCAAGAAACAGATTTTACTGGTAAGGCAAAATCCAAATCTCTCCTTTTATATACATCCCAAAATGTTTGCTTTTTGGCTATTAATTGCTTTTTGACATTAAGCGGTGATGTGCCAGTTTAGAAACTCACCTCTTCAACCTCGCGGAATACTCTTAAAAGATTATTGGCCAATGCAGCCTTAAGTTCTTCCTCAGTCCATCCTCTTCTTAGCAGTTCAGCTACAAGATCTGGGTATTTGGATACATCGCCCAGGCCCTCAGGAACTCTGCAGAGGGGAAAATTCTTTGGTTACACTTGAACAAAATTTACAATTTTAGAACCCCATATATGATACATGTACATCAATCTCCTGCTATTGGTCAAAGTTTTCTGTTTCCTGTCAGCCTTTTATAGTTTAGTGTAGAGCAGAACAAGCATGGAACAAGTAGAATTTCCTTTTACCTGATTGGCCTCCACGATGTGTAACTGCACGACCTAGGCAGCATAGTGTGAACTTTACTTACAGGATTATTCACAAAAGGGTGAAGAGGTTGGAGAACGCAGGAGAAGTGAACAATCTAGGCAAAAATAGCTGATTTGGAAAAATTCTCCAATTCAGTTCACTTTCCAGTTCAGCTATGTTGTCCTAGATTGTTCACTACTCCTGCCTTCTCCAAACTCTTTACCACTTTGTGAATAACCCTGTTAACTCCTTCTCCCGACCCAATCCATGGTGGCAACTGCGGAAGGGGTGGCAGCTGTACCTTTGCAAAATATAGTTGCGGGCAGGTAAATGCACCATCCTCCAAATGTTTAGGTTGGAAGGAGCGGGTGGTGGTCAGAGCTTTGAGCGGGCTTGGGTGAACTCAGGTGAACTGGGTTTGCACCAAGCCCAGCCTCATCACTAGTCATGAGGTTGCCAACCCCTGTTGTGACCAATATGGCTCAGTGTAAAAAAAAATGTTTCCAAGACAATACTGCTCAAACATCTCCAAGGGATTGCTTTGTGCCAGTACACTTTGTTCAGTGCAGTGACCTTTCATAGTGTTCTGGAAAAGCTCGGAAATCAACCCTCTATACCATTGTTGTAAACTGAACAGCATAACATTCCTTTTTTTTTTTTCTAACCCAAGCCCCGGCCATTGACAATATCAGCACTTACCTGGGTACACCATCATAATCGCCTCCAAATCCCACCGCCTCATAACCAGCAATTTTCTTAACGTAATCAAAATGATCTGCAAACAAAAGGAAAGTCAGATAAAAAGTTAAATGCTTTAAGTTATGTCGATGACATTTCACAATGTTTTAATCAAATATGTTGTAACACAATTCAAACTGATTTCAATCTCTTGCTATGGGAGCCATGCATCTCCTAGAGCAGCGGTCGCCAACCGGTGGTCCACAGGAAAATGTTGGTGGTCCCCGGGCCCCTCTGATGCCGTGCAGGCTGGGCCGTCATTGAAGCGGCACGGAGGCTCCAGGGCTGCCTCTCACTGACTCAAGAAGCGGCTGTCACAAGGAATGCGCGGCTTTCAGTACAGTGCGGGCTCTGCAGGAGGTGGGGCAACTCGTCAGTACCCAGACTGAGCAGGCTGCAGGAAATAGAAAAAGTGGTGAGAAGCCAGGTAATAGTGGCTCAGTGTGGGGGAAGGGGAGGCACGGGGCTAGTTGGGGGCAGTGCTGAAACGAGGGGGGGCATGTGCACCGGGCGCCGCCAACAGGGCCAGTGGCAGATTCGATAGGGGGGGGGAAACAATTAATATTATTACTGGGCCGGGGTGGTAAAGGAAAATTACCGATAGGTAAGTATACAATTTTCCGTTATATATGAGGAAACCAAATATTAGTGGTCCGTGGGATTTAAAATTATGAATTTAGTGGTCCATGAGGTCCGAAAGGTTGGTGACCGCTGTCCTAGAGGGCACACACAAGTACCAATTGTCTGCACATGTTTCTGGTAGTTAAAGTTTATTTATGTGTGGCCGGGTTTAGGGCCTTGTAATTACATACAACACCATCATTGTTTACAGATGATATGTATTCTTATGGGATCTCTTTGCTTAGTTTTGGCCTCTTATCAATGGGCAGATTTCCTTCACTTACTGTCCAATAGCCACAACAGGAAATGAGAGGAAGTCCCTCCAAAGTAAAGGGAATCCCTGGTGGTGAACAGGTTTACTAGAACTAGTCTCTTCATTGGAAGATTTTCCATCTATTCCTGTTCTGGTGGCAGCCCAAAATTTGGGATTTCCTTTTACTAAAATAGTTTTGGATTCAGTTGGTCTTTAAATATCCCATTGAAAGCGTTTTGGTATATCTATTTCATAAGCACAAAAAGAAAAACCTGTTGATCCTGCCTGAACTCTAATATAACGTCCTGTGCGCTGCAATTTCATTAGTGTTGTCCCTGTTCTCTCTGTGAACTATAGAATGCCTCCCTCTAATAGGGCATGGGAGAGGTGGAAGTGTTCTATAGACCAGTCCTAAGATGACAATGCTGTTCCTCCATATATACAGTACAGTGAGCATTGTCAACCTAGGACAGCAAGTGTGTTACTGGCAGGATCACCAGGTGAAAATAAAGAGAAAGGAGCCTAAAAAAAGAAAACTAACACAGTCACCACATCTAAGGACTAGTGATATGTATTATATAGCATTTTTGTTATTGGGTTTCACTTCAAAGGCAAGTGTTTGGTTTCACAGGAAAGGCAGGTCAGCGTTTACTATACAGTCCATGAAACAGTGTCAGGGACAGCAAGATAATGGGGTAGCAGGGCATAGGGTAACAAGGTCCAGGGAAATTATGCTTTTTTTTTTTAACCTTGTCTAGTCACAAAAAAGTAGAACCTCTCCATCAATGCACAAACTGCAATAACAAAGCTTTCATTTCTAGAACAGAGAAAGGTCAGGACCTCCTTTAAAATGTTATGGCCGGCTGAGTCCCCATTGGGGAGATTTTCTCCACTTCTTGTAAAACTGAGGATCTGACTCTTGCCCTGTGCTATCCAAATCTAAAACAAAATGTTTTGTCTGGAGAAGGCCAAACCATGGGGACAAATAAGGCAATTAAAAAACCAGACGGAGGTCCTATCCCTACACCTATCTGTCAAAAACAAAAAGGAACATGGCTTTGTCCGGAGCTGGGCTCTCATAAGAATATATGCAGTTACGCACGGAGACACACAGACAGCAGGCTCCGCCTATTTTGTGCGCCTGCAATGACACTGAAGGTGTGCAAACACATCCAAAGTCGGGGAGATGGCGTGCTGAGACCTGCATGGTAGATTTTCTTCTGCCCCTCCATCCCGCCCTTACCTACCAGCAACGTCTGATATACTGGCATCTGGCCTACACGTGACGTAGTCATTGTAGAAGTTCACCATTACCAAACCTCTCTTCTCTTTCTGATTAAAAAAAATACACAGAAATTACGTCATTAAAGCCCAAATGGGGAGATCATTACTAATTCAAATTTGAAAAGTTTTAAAGCAGTCTTAAAGGAAAGCCACAATTTTAAACAAACGTATACAGGTTCTTAATCTATCCTACTTCATACTTATTAGCATAAAAAGGCTTTAGAAGTCAGAGATCTAAAGGCACATTTAAAAAGCATTGTAGGGGTGGTCGATGACTTTGTCCTGGGACTTCTCTACCTCTTCACAAGCTTTGAGAGTAAAGGATGCACCCTTAAAGTGAATCTGTGGGCAGGCTTTAACATTTATCTAATTATATATTAGGAAAATTAGCAGTAAATGACCTCTGTAGCTGCAGGCATTGTGGAAAGATTCATACTCAAATGTCACAGCAGAAGCACTGAGGCCATTCAAGTTGTGCAGGAGTTGCTGACCTGCTTAGACAATTACTTGAATTTTGCTATCACACCAAGGGCCGTCCCAAGCGGTTACCGGGTGACACCCCACGCATGCGCGATTACGTCATCGAGCATGCGCGGCGATCTTCTTGATACCTCCCGGCGGCCATCTTGGTGATGGACGCTGGCAGAGAGAGGAGGGGACAGTCACCGGCGGGATAAGGTATGCCGCCAGGTCCCCTCCTCTCTCCCGAAACTGTTGGGCGCTCGGTCCATGACCGAGTGCCCGACTTTTCAGAAGCGTCCACTCATAGTCATTTTGGTGTCACCCCTCCAATGGTGTCACCCGGGTGCGGGCCGTACCCCCCGCACCCTTCTTGTGATGCCACTGATCACACCAATACTGTATGTGCTTCCAAAACCATGGGCATTAATATGGATTTGGCCCCGTTTTCTAGCTATAACCGCCTCCTCTCTTCTGGGGATGCTTTCGACAAGATTTCAGAGTGTATCTGAGGGAATTTGTGCCCATTAAGCCAAAAGAGCATTTGTGAGGTCAGGTACTGATGTTGTCTGAGAAGACCTGTGGCACAATTGACACTCCAATTTATCCCAAAGGTGTTCAGGAGGGATGAGGTCAGGGCTCTGTGCAGGACATTGGAGTTCCTCCACACCAAACTCATCATACTAGGTCATTATGGAGCTGGCTCTGTACACAGGGGCCCAGTCATGTCATAAAAGAAAACGACCTTCTCCAATCTGTTGCCAAAAGGTTGGTAGAGCACCATTGTCTAACATGTCTTTGTATGCTCTTCAATGGAAACCTTCACAGAAGTTAATCATTTGGAGGGGTGTCCACATATTTTTGGCAAAATAGTGCTTATCTAAAACATCACTTGTGGGTGGACTGACCCTTTATACAGTAATCAAACATTCTTCCTTTTTTGATGTTACATGGGGACCATTTAAGTGAAATTCTCATGAGATATCAGATCAACCAGCAGCTCTTCTTCTACATACCACAATCCTGAGTACATCGTCCGGCACGTTCCTTTTGTGCTTGCACACGTCGTATGCAGAAGAATGGCTGAATATCAGAGGAGCCTTTGAGACCTCTAGAGCATCTTTCATTGTCTTCACCGACACGTGGGCCAAGTCTATGATCATTCCCAGGCGGTTCATCTCCAGCACTACACTCTGCAGGGAGAAAAGAAGCCTGTGATGACCATGAATTGCAAAATGAACCACCTCCCACCCTCTCTGGAAATACAGTATTTATAATTATTTTCTGAAACTCTTAGGGCTTGGTCACACCATATCCAGTGCATTCCGGTGCAGTTCGAGCCTGAAATGCACTGGATCGCATTGGCCACCTTCTCGGGCGGGAGGGGGCATGGCGGTGCCATTCATGTCACGCCCCCTCCCTCCCTAAAACGCGACCCAGCTTGATCTGTGCGATCCAGTGCTTTCCGGGCTCAAACCCTGCTGGAACACACAGGATATGGTGTGACAGGGCCCTTAAAGTACAGTATATGTAAGTCCAGTCACTAAAAATGAATTGCTAGGATTTACACTTTAACTCAGATACAGCCAGGTAACTAGAACTAATGGCAGCCCCCATATTCCTCTCATGACAGAGTCATTTTAAATCCACAATTACATTTCAGTGCATCAAAACAATAGGTGTTCAAAGTCTAAGGGCCCATACACACCACCTGCCTTAAGGTATTGCATGGTAAGGTATATACATTTACTGCTGCGCTGTGGTGCCATTCATTTGCAATGGCACCTCAAAAAAACATCCACCACGCATATGTGCTGGAACACACCACAGCCCATTACAATGTACTGTGTCATATGTGGTGCGCTGTAAAAAAAAAATGCACCCTGCATTATTTTATATTATGTGTTGAGTTGCATTGAAGCACATTATTTTGAACCAGCTGCTTGACGCAGCTTGCTGTAACATGCCTCAATGGCCGAACATGCCCTCACAGTTTGTTTTCCCTATAAAGCAGCCAAATCCTAAGCAGTATAACCTAGCCCTTGCCAGCATGCTGTAGAAAATGACCCTTTGCACACTGCGCGGAAGCAGTAGACTCTCTGCAGAGAATTAGACCAATCAGCAAAGTCCATGTTTCCTTCTGATTATAAGGCTCTAGCTCTGACTCAGCAGGGGACTTGAACACAGTAGATGTCGGAATTGAAGCACCAATTAAAATAGTCCAGATACAGCTTTACTCCATTTGGCTGCCAAACCAGCTGCCTAAAGCCTGAAGCACTCCCATCACAACTTAATACAACTTTCAAGCTGCAGGGATTGTAGTCTGCTTATATGATTTCTCTTATTAGGTCCTGAAGAAGGGGGTGTGGTTTGGATCCCCAAAATGCATTAGCTATTCTTCTTGAATGTCCCCTGACCCTAATAGAAGAAAGTTGCATCTGGACTATTTTAATCGGTGTGGTGCTTCAATTCTTACATCTACTGTGTTCACTATCAAGCCAAGGATACTGTGAAGGTCCTTTGGATTGCGGAAGCTGCCACATTAGCCAGGAGACCCATATTCACATCATATACCAAGAGAATAACCACACGGGTCCAGAGCTTTCTTTCACACTTCTAAATATCAGCAGGAGGCGTGTTGGACCTCTGCAGAGAGACCACCGCTTCCCCGCAGAAAGCAAGAGTCCTTCTCTAAAGCATGCTGGCAAGGGGACAGGCTTGTCTACTCAGGCTGTGGCTGCTTTGTAAGCAAAATGAACTGTAAGACTTTGCACACCTTTCGTGTTGAGGCACCTGGAATGTTTTTAGCTGATTTAAACTATAAATTCAGTTGGACTTTGGTAAGAGGAGGACTGTCATAAAACATATATGGCAGCATTTTCCTTATCAGTAAAGTAATACAGAAAGGTTCGTGAGTTGAAGAAATTAAAGGAAAGGTTATTATTTATGAAGGTTAGTGGGCCAGCTGTATTTCCAGATGTTTAAACGTTTCCATCATGACACAAGAGTAATTATCCAGAGTATTAGCATATGTTGCAGAACTCTGGAGACGGCGATCCTTGGGCAGAAATACAGATTAGGTCCCTGAATTCTGCAAGACATGTTACTGTATTTTTCCGTGTATAAGACGCTACTTTTTCATAAAAGTATTTACCTAAAAATGGAGGGGCGTCTTATACACGGGGGGCCGGGAGGAGAACCGCGGTTGCGAAACTGCCGATACCTCTGCAAACTAGCCTCACGAGTGAAACTTCCGATTGCAGAGACAAGCTAACAGGTTTCCTCCAATCATGAGCCTTATGTGCCCGACGTCAGCTGATGCTGCGGAAAAACCGTAGCCAGTGCCCAGATGCAACAGGGAGCGGTAATGTCGGAGCATTCTGAGTCCATAAAATGTCAGAAAACAAAAGAAATACCAGTACCAGGAAGCGGCTGTCTTACTCTGCAAAATTTAAACTGGATGTAATCAGTTATGCAAAAGAGCATGGAAAATATTGATTTCTGAATTTTGGGTAAGAAAAGTGGGGGGCGTCCTATACATGGGGGCGTCTTATAGACAGAAAAATACGGTACATTTGGTTTCAGCGTCAAGCCAAAGGGATGTACTAACTATGTGACCTTTGTAATGGGATCTGCATCCTGCTCGCCAACCTGAATCGTGACCTACCACATGGAACATCTGTCCTAAACACTGGGAGTCTGGTACTGGAAGTGTAGGTGGGTTAGTATAGCCGACCCTACGCTAAACAATTAACCCTTCATTATCTGCCCACTTAACGACCCCTTACAGTGACCGCAATCCATTTTTACCTTTCCAAAGTCAGACAGCCCATTGCTTTTTGCTGGATCATCTCCAACATCCACCAGCCAGTTATCCGCCCTGAGTAGACAGAACAGAGAAGAAGGATTTGTTAGGGATGCTAAACAATAATTCAGGCCTATACAATTCCCCTTAGTCCAGCCTTTTATTCATTTACAAATTGCTAAGACCCCCTTCACACCTTACCCAAAGAATGCTATCAAGTTGTTTCGCAAGTTAAAGAAGAACTTCGGGAATTTGAAAAACGTACCCTTGTAGTGGGGCTACCTCTGCACTGCAAGGGTTAAGTCCTCCTTTTTTTCTAGGGGGTTAAAAAAAAAAAAAAGCAGATATAGTCACCTTATCATCAGTCCCGCAGAGGTCAGCGCTCACCGCTCTCCCCCTCCACTGGAATGTCCCTTCACATCTCACGTCTAATGCAAGTCAATGGACCTGCTTAAGACGTGATGGCGTCAGTGGTCCTAAGACTGCCAGAACCCAGGGGAGAATAGGCCGCCGAGGCCATCTATCAGTCCGGAAGGACAGAGGATCAGGTGAGTGTATCTGCTTTATTTCAGCCCCCCTTGACAAATTGATCAGTTAACCCTTGCAGTGCAGGGGCAGCCATACTGCAAGGGTACGTTTTTTTTAAATCACAGCAGTTCTTCTTTAATGTGCATTGCATTATTACAGCCCGATTATTTTGAATGGGCTGCCAAAGCAACGCAATGCAAAAACCAGGTCTGAATTTTTAACACCACACACTGCAACTTCATCATGCTGAAGAGAAGGACCCTCAAGCTGCCCATACACCTTACAATTATCTGCAGATTTTCCGTGGTCAGATGGAATACAGTTCACCAACCAATCAGCAGGGAACATGAGTTTTACTGATTGCAGGGTTATAGGCCTGACTAAGCAGGAAGCATATTGGACCTCTGCAGAGAGATCACTGCTTCCACACAGGGAGCAAGGGTCCTTCTCTACACCATGCTGGCAGGAGACAGGCTTTTCTACTCAGGCTGTGACTGCTTTCTAAAGAAATGCACTTAAAATGTATTAAGCTGATTTAAACTGAATGCTCAATTGGACTTTAGTATTTGCTTAATTTGTTTGTTTAATACTCTGTTTCTTATAGTCATCAGCACTGGCCAGCAAGCAAGGGCTACAGTCTATTTATAGTGGAGGCTCAGATCTAAAAATGATTATTTCATTCTCACTTCAGATAAAAATTAACAACATAATTTCTAGATAAGATTTGATGTCTTTGCTCACATGGGCTAACAGGTTAGCAGAGGGTGACTAATGTGGTTGTAATAGATATATTATATATCTCTTTATTTATTTCTATCTCTTTCATTAAAGCAATAACAACAAATCTGATAGGATTAAAATATGTGAAAAGTCATATCAAAAACATTAATTAAAGAGACCCTGTCACCTTTATTTTCTCAAGCCTGCCACTGAACCACCTGTCAGTGGGCACCCTTCCTATGTTGGCACAAGCCAACCATGCCCGTTTCAAAATCTGGCCCAGAGTCTCACCTATAATCACAGTACTGGAATTGCTAAGGTTATCCATATCTCTATTTTATTATCTACATCAGCGTTTCTCAACCTTTATTCATGGCACCCTTTAAATGTATGCAAAATCTGGAGGCACCCCAGTCCAAATGTAAAAAACACGTGTGGTCCCTCCAAAATCCATATCAGACCCTTATCTAAGATACAGGTCTGGTATGAATTTTAAGGGGGGACCCCATGCAAAACATAAAAAAGAATGTGGAGGTCCGACCCTTCAGACTAGACCCCCCCTTTCCCATCGGAAGGCCCATTTAGTTCAGGAACCCCCCTCCTTTCAGGTCAGATTCCCCCCTCTTAAATTAGGAGCCCCTCTTCACATCAAAGCCCCCTCTTTTCACATCAAAGCCCCCTCTTTTCACATCAGAATCTCCCTCTTTCACATCAAAAGCCCCCCTTTAGATCAGAGTCCCCCTTTCATATTAGAGTCCCAACATCACACAAGGACCCATAGCTACAGCAGCATGGCACATGGCAGGAGCTGGAGCAGGCCTGGATAGAGGCAATCATCCATTTCTGAATGGATCCCATCTCCCATGGCCCACCTTCACCATGGAAAAGCATGATGTTGTGTGAAAAATTCAAGGCACCCCTGAGAAGGCCAGAAGGCACCCCAGAGTGCTGCGAAACACTGGTTGAGAAAGGTTGATCTACCCCACTCAGGGAGGACCTGCTGCTCTTTAGGTGTCAAGAAGTTAGGAATCTGGAGTGCTCCCAGCATGCTCTGCCAGAAGCACCACATTGCCCAACCCTTTACTATGCCCATATTTCATTACAGATCTTACCATGGTGTGTTGCAGCTGTGCGTTAAAGTCATATAACGCACCCCCAGGTTGTAGAAGGTGCGCAGAACCCCCAGGCTGCTGTCAATTGAATGTCCACCTTCCACACCAATCAGACTGGCCACCTTCTTAGCTTGGAAGGCCTCCAGGATCCCTATAAAATAAACATTTGTAAATGCTGCACTGAAGCTCAATGGTGTTTAGATAACAAGACAATTATATATTAATAACCGTGCCCACGGCATTGGGAGGGTGTCCCCATGCCGATGGGGACAAGGGCCTCTTCCCCACAACCCTGACCCAGTAGTTGTGGGGGTCTGTGGGCAAGGGGGCTTATTTGCATCAGGGTACCCCTTAAAGGGGCACCCAGATGCCGCCCCCCTCCTTGTGAATGGTAGGGCGCAGGGAGGGGGGCCACTCGATCATCCCCCCCCCTTTCCTGCCCTGCCGGGCCTGTGCTCGGATCAATGGTCTGGTAGGAATGTAAGGGAGGGACCCCACGTTTCCCCCCCCCATTTTTGGGGCTGGGATCCCCCCTTAAAATTCCAACCAGACCTAAAGGGCCTTGTATGGATTTTGGGGGGAACCCCACGCATTATTTTTTTTTACTTGGGGGGGGGTCCCTCCTAACATTCCTACCAGACCTAAAGGGTCTAGTATGAATTGGGGGGAACCTCACGTTTTTTTTTTTATCTCTTCTGCCGACTGTAAAAAAAACGTACTTTCGTCCAGACTACCGCTAACGAATTTCGGAATCGTAAATTCGGATTTGTTTGCATTCGTTATTTCCTGAATTCGGATACATTCGAATCTCTGAATTTTGAAAATTTCGTCCGAATTTCGATTCATAACGAAAGGAATCGCATATGTCTAATAGAAATCCAATAGACAGCGATAACATTTTTCACTTCGAACCATTAGGCCTTGTTCACACCAAGCGCGGAGCAGATCCAGACCAGATCAGTTGCAGACCGGATCAAAACTGCGTCCAATGTATTCCTATGGTATTTTGACCTCCAGTTCACATCGCAGCGTGCGGATCCAGACCAGATCCAGAGCAGGTGAAAAAACTGCGGCAAGCCCTATTTTACCTGCTCTGGATCTGCTCTGGAACGCATCAAAAACGCAAAAACGCATCAAAAACGCATGCAAGTGCCTGAAAGCCCATGTTAAACTTAAAAAAAAAAAAATGTTTTTTTTAACCAAAACCGGCCCGGAACGCATCAAAAACGCGTCAAAAACGCAGCACAAACCACTGCACTGCGTGTGCAGAAACCTGACCGGATCTGCTCTGCATTTGGTGTGAACAAGGCCTTAGGGTTTCATCAATCCCATTGCTCAGCAGTCAATAGGAATGAATGGATTTTTATTATAATGATGGATAATCGAATCGTATTTGATAAAGATGATATTTCTGTATGTATGGACAGCCTTAGAGATATGTAACATGTATATAACACAACATTGTTTACAGATTTTTTGTATTCTAATGGAATTTCTTCTTAAAGGTTCATGCACAAGGCTGTAAATGGCAGTATAATGTACAATATGGCTGTATGTTCTCTATGGGGAGTGACAGGTGCAGTGTACAGCCACCGCCTTGCAGCCTGTACCAATCAATGGCAGGTGGTGGCTGCTCACATATATACTGTATATATATGGGAATGCATGCAAATCTGGTCAGCTACATGTGTACAGGGCCATTTATCCCTTCCTGAATGCAGACTGGTCGGGGAGGTGCATATGGCTCTGTATGCATCAAATGCATTGCATTTAATGCATATGTTTGCATGCAGCTGCCACCTGGCATTGATTTGTACAGGTTGATAGGCGGCAACTATTGCCATCCTTATAATGAGCCAGGCTGAGGCTGTTGCTTTGAGGCGGCATCTCTTTGGGTCACGTGGAGTGATGGCAAGCAAAGTGGCATGTCTGTTGTATACTGGCAGCTAAGAGCCGGGTAGGGTGATGTGTAAGGGTCATATACATCTCTCCGCCCCAGTTCTTAGCAACTTGGGAGTTTCTGGCCGGCGTCCTGTCCAGTTCCTAGCAACCTGTGACCTCACTGGTTGCCAGGAGTCGGGCAGGATGCCGGCTAGAGCATCCCGCCTGCATAAACATCTCCCCATCAAGCTTTTAGCAACCTCGGACCCTCTGGCTGGTGTCCCGCTCAACCCCTGGCAACCAGTGATGTTGCTGAGCCAGAGCTTACTGCCATGTGCGCGAGCCCTTAAATTGAATGTAAACCCCAACAATAATCTTCTCTTATTTGCTCTCTTTTGGTCGGTCAATATACCACTGGAAGCATTTTGCTATATGTTTGATGATTGCAAAAAATATCTGCTGATCCTGCCAGAAACCTCATCAGCAATGGCAGCCATCACATATCTCCTATGACCGGTTTACATGAAAGTAAATCAGATGCTACACCGCTGTCACCATTTTGCTTGTTCCAGTCCCCTCACCTGCTGTGCTGCCGACACACGAGAAATCATCTGGATATTTCTGACATATAAGATGGACGATGTCTATCTGCTCCAACGTCCTTTTTACAGCATCCTTGCCTTGGGTGTCACAGGGGACGTACGCCGCCCAAAACTACAAGAAACAGCAAAACATTACAACAGGACTGAAGGGTTTGTACTGCTTTACATTTGTGGAGGGTTTGGAGTTTAAAGAAACCCTGTCAGCAATGTAAAATAATAAACATGCAGCACCCTGTGAAAGAAGCAGCGTTATATTCACCTTTCCAGTGGGCAGTGTGTGAAAGATGAACTCCGGCAACAAAAACTTTCAATTACAATTATTCCCCAATAGTCACAAAGGATATCAATCCACTTTGCGTGCACAAAATGCCTTTGCAACTTCAATTATTACTAGGGATGCACCGATACCGACAGCACACCGATGCCAGTGCTTCCGCTAGTATGGAGTCGGCTTCCCGGGAAATCTGGAAGCCAGGCGGCGTGTCATTACCTACTTCACGTTTGGCTGGCTCCATGCTGATTGGCCAGGAAACTGGCTTCCCAGTCAATCAGCATTGAGCCGGCTTCCTGGGCAATCAGGAAGCCGGGCGGTGAGTAATGACCCGCCTACCGGCTTCCTGATTGACCGGAAAGCCGGCTCCATGTTTAATTGGCTGGGAAAGCGGCTTCCCGGCCAATCAGCATCGAGCCGGCTTCCCAGACGATCAGGAAACCGGGTCATTACTCGTCAGCCGGCTTCCTAATTGCCCAAGGAGCCGGCTAAATGTTCCCCTATGGCACAGCCGGTCAGAGTAAAGTTCCGGTATCAGGGAAGGTATCAGAGCATTTGGGCGGGGACAAGTACTCGGCCAAATACTCTGTATCGGCACTGATACCCATACTAGTATCGGTATCGGTTCATCCCTAATTATTACCTTGTAAAAGTAGCAGTGACATCATCAGTGTGATGTTCACAGCCTGTGCAGAGAGCAGAGCTGTGGGAGGGGCCCGGCAGGCCCAACCAACTATAGGCTGTCTGCAGAAAACTGCAGAAGAGGGCGGAGACAAGACCAGTCACCCTGCACAAGGAGAAAGAGCAGCAGTGACTGGTCTTTATTACAGGAATCTCCTGCGCAGAGGGGAAGTTTTACTTCTGGGTGTGCTGGAGAGCAGCAAATCCCCCCCTAGGCGTTGTGGCCTCTCCCTCTGACCCCTACATTACAACACACAATAGTGACAAGAGGCAGAACCAAAGCACACAGCAGGGGACACGCTATCTGATACATGTACGATCGCAGCGGTGTCCAGAGCTCTTCAAATGAGTTAAGAAGTAACACGTTACCTGCAAGAGAGCATAATGCTGCCTCTTTCACAAGATGCTATCTACTATGAACTACAGAACACCTCCTCCTATGTAATGGATGTGAGAAGACATGGAGATGTTTGTAGTCCAAACCAAGAGAGCTGTCTAGGATGACAACACTGCTTTTCCATAGATACAGCATGATGGGTGAGTGTCGTCACCCAGGTACAGGAAGTGTGTAACTGGTAAAAAAAAAGAAAAGGAAACTAATGCAGCCATCTTATCTAAGGACTGGTAAGCTGCAATGTATTATATTTTTGTTTTTTGGTATCAGGTATGCTTTGATTTCCTTGTAGAAGACTGAACTTTCTGTGGCCAAATGTATACCATTATTGTACCGTTGTTACAGGCAGAGGCGTCCTGAGGCCGGGTGTCACCAGGAGCAGAGACCAGGTGACACCCCGCCGCGACTTCATCGCACATGCGTGGCCATCTAATTGACGCCTGCTTGCGGCCATCCTAGTGATGGACGCCGGCAGAGAGAGGAGGGGACGTTCACCTGGCGGGATGAGATATGCCGCTGGGTCCCCTCCTCTCTCCTGACACTGTCGGACTCTCGGTCTATGACCGAGTGCTCGACTTTTTAGAGGGGTTGACACCAAATTTGGTATCACCCCTCCAATGGTGTCTCCCTGGTGCGGGCCGCACCCCCCTTGTGACGCCACTGGTTACAGGTACACATTATTTTTTGCATAGACTGAACATATTCTATCCCGGCTCCTTTCTACCATCACAACCAGCGTACACTCACCTGTCCGCCCACCCTTCCCTCTCGGAGTTTGGGAATGTTGGTGTGGGTCTCGTTCAGAGTATGCAGGTTCACTTTACTCAGCTGGTTATTGAATAAATCCAGGAGCTGCCAGGGGAGATCGTTGTGTCTGTAGAGGGAAAGAAGCATATATATGTTAGAACATGGGTGGGAAACCTCGGCTATCATGGAACTACAAATTCCATCTTGTCTCTGTCTCTGGGAGTTATTTCTGTGGCTGTCAGAGTCTTGCAATGCCTCATGAGACTTCCACAACAGCTGGAGTGCCAAGTTTGCCTACCCCGTGTTAAACCATGCCTGCCAATGTGCAGGTTATGTTTACAGTGTAAAATTCAGCTTGAAGGAACTGTACATAATTTAAATCTGAACGCCATGCAAACAGCTAAATACATATGGGAGAATTATTTTACCTGCCAGTTGGATTTGCAGTTCTACTGAGCCAGACTTGTGATCCAGGGACCCTTGTCTTATAGCACAATCAAGTCCTGCACACTTTGAGACCTTTCTACCGGCTACCCTGCTTTAAGCAACACAGCTTGGTCTAGAATCCATCCCAACACTGTGGCAGGAATGTGCTCTATGGGAATGATGGTGTTAAACTGAAGGTAGGAACTAAACTAGCATTGTGCTATCACATATTTAGATGGATACGCCTGGATGTGACAGAGACGGTAGTCTGTAAGCTCCTTCAGGGGCTGGGGTTGATGTGAATTGAATTGGAAGCTCTCAGCACTGGATATGGCACTTAATAATGGGACGGCCACATCCTAAATAAATGTACTTATATCCCAGCTCATAATTTGTCTAGGGGTCTTGGTGGTGAGGTAAAGGATGGACACCGGCGCTCCAAGGCAAATCCAGTACGTCTATTTATTCACGTACTTGTTGCAAATCCAAACACCATATACAACGTTTTGGGTTCTCACAGGATCCCCTTCATCAGGCAAACAAGTGATGAAGGGGATCCTGTGAGACCTTAAACGTTGTATATAGTGTTTGGATTTGCAACAAGTACGTGAATAAATAGACGTACTGGATTTGCCTTGGAGTGCCGGTGTCCATCCTAGACCGATACTTCGACATAAGCCACTCATTGACACCTGTTGCACCCACCTCCTATCTGATGGAGCAACGGCTGTGAGTGCGATGGGTGCACGGACTGTATCTTGGTGGTGAGGTACTCCCACCAGATTTCACAGTGTTCTAATGTGAAGATCCCCAGTCCATAGTCAGAACATAAATATAAAGAGTTCCCTAAGAGTGTAAAAGAATAACTAGAGAATACAATTGTAAGAGAAATATGCTAGCCATACATGGCTCAAATTTGGGCCAATTCTTGCTGGTTTGGCCACAATTCAAGCATTGGGTGGCCCTTTTGGTGGAAATTTGTTAGCTGAATAGTTGATCCAATCAGATGCAGTCACTGGGGTGCTGGTTGTCTGCATACAATAGCTGGTAGGGGAGGTTCCCCATATGTTTTAGTTGATGGAGGAATCAAGTATCTTCTCTCGTTCAGCCCCCATGGAAAACCAAGAAACCCAAGAAATGGAAGTATGTATGGCTAGCTTAACGCTTTCTCTATGGCCATGTGGAAGGGGATTGAGCAACAAACCAATCAGAAGAAATCTGTGATATATATCCAGGACAGTTGGGACAATTCAGTCTGTAAGTTCCCAACCAAAACTAAACTATCACATTTGGGTAAATCTGAACATTAAATGAAAAAAGCAACAAATGTCTCCTTAGGTCTTATCATGTTACAATTATGGTGTTAATGATGTTATTACAAGTGTCAGCACTCACCCATCTATGACAGGAACCTGGTCCATGATATTCAACGCCTGAGCCCGGTTTGAAAGTGCCACCTCCACACACCCACACAGCAGCAGTGCCAGAAACTGGAGGAACGCCATGGGTCTAGTGGTGCCTGGTTGGTTGTCCAGTCTAATGCAGCTCCAAGTCTTTCTAAGGTTCCCTTGGTTAGAAAGAGACAAGAGTCTATACCCTCCTTATTCAGTGTGCCCTGTCACCCGAAAAATTGGTAGATGATTGCTGAGTACCGTTATATAGCCCGTGCAGAGGAATTAATCAGTAACTTAAACAATGAGCAGATAAGATCTTATTCAGCAAGTCGTGATAATCTCATCTCAGGTAATCAAGCAATTAAACAGCACTGCAGTTGAAGTAAAAATTTGGAATATCATGAGAGGACAGCTGCACCATTAAAGGGCCGCGATCAGGAAAATGACTGTATTCGGATAACTGTGTGTGGTTAATACATTTAAAGGGCCAGTCCAGCCAAAACGTGACTCTAATAGATGCTAGTAAGTTTGACCACCTGACACTGGTCTTATATCTCTTTGGGAACTCTGTGAGACCTCTGTGATGAGTTCCTGGATCTGCAGCCTGCTGTACCCATTATGAAGGGCTCCCACTCTTCCTGTTCGATTTTTCCTTATTTTATAATATGGGGGATTATTCTTTTCAAGTTTGTTATGGATGCTACTAATTGTGTGCATATGCCTTATTAGAGGTTGATCAGCGAGAAGCCGCATGCGTTCGTCTCGGTGCCCGCCCATGTAGCCAGAAATATGCGATGCCTGTAGGTGGATGGCTCCCTATATCTAAGCTTCCTATCTAAGTAAGATGTAAATAAATGTATTATATGAGATTGTTTTGTACACATTTGAGAAGTTAGAATAATGCTTTGTATGTTTTATACATTTCAGCTCCGCCTCAATTTGCTCCTGAAGAAGTGGCACTGTCTGTGAAACGCGTTGAGAGAAAACCCCTCTGTACACCCATAGATAAGTGACCTTATGGGTAAAATAAATGTGATGGATGGATACCATATCAGATGTTGTAAAATTAGTATATAGGGGTGTATTGAGGCTTAAAGGAGAACTTTTGGGGTTAAGTTTTTTCCCCATAGTTCTCCTAAGGGTAACGGGAGGACACAAACTAGCGTCCTCCCGTCACCCTAAGCTCAGTATACCGCGAGCTACAGCTCGCGGTATACTGAGACGCCGCAGCTGAAAGGGATCCCGACAATTATGTCTGGATCCGCCCAGCTGCTTGAGTGACAGCTGGCTCTGCCTATCTAGAGGCAGAGCCAGCTGTACCCGCCCCCTCCCCCGTCCGTTCCGCCAGTCAGCGCTGGAGGATCGGAGCGGGGAGGGGGGAATCCAGTCCCTCCCCTGTCACGGCTCTCTGCCGTGACAGGATAGAGAAGTGAGCGAACGCCGGTATGTGGTCGCTCACTTCCCGATCTACTCAGCCGACCTGTGACAGTTTAATTGTCACAGGTCGGCTAGAAGTATGAGTGAAAATCACTCCCCTCATAGTTCTCCTTTAAAATTAAAAGCTAAGGGGCATGATTTTATGCTTTTCAAATTGATTTTGTACAGATAAACTTTTGGTTTATCTTAATCAAATGGAGTTTTTGGGTTCCTTAAAAGTCGATTATTTTATACTTTATAAATGATCAATAATAATTATCAATAATATGAAGAATGTAACAGAAGAAGCTGGAACACACATAGGGTGCGGGAACACCCGAAACACCGAGGTACATGGGAACTGAGAAATATGTCAGGAAGATCTCAATGTTGGAGTATTCAAGACATATACGAAGCCAGAGGCTGACTCAGCCCTCCAGAATCCATGTGTAACTAAAATATCATTTTTCAGTGGACAGACCTGTGACGGAAGCCTCCGTTACTCTGCTATTTGGAGGGGACTGCAGGCCGGCCTCCTTCCCACCAACTATGGGCCTTGGCCGTGTAGGGAGTTCTATTGATTGACAGAGGGGCTTGCCATGGTGCTCTGTGCTGTGTGGGACCCTTTGTTTGTGCTCCATGGATCAAGAGGACCTCAGAGACCTGTTTCTCAATTATTATGGGGGAGCTGAGATTGTGTTTTCCTATACCCCAGTATCCTGTCCTGGACCAGACTCTGGACTTAGACTAACAAGTTAAATGGAAGTCTATTTGTCCATTTGTCTGATTGTGTTATCAATGGGATTAACTTGCCACTAGATTTAGCTGAGTACATTACCACATCATAGACACTCAGGAGATAATCCCATCATATGTGTCTCCTGTCTCCCTATTCTTTCATTAATGCACCGGGGAGGCGATGTCTGTTTGCATTCTGTTAATGTTTCATTGCGTTATGTTTTGAGACCTCCAGAACTATATATATATATATATACACAGTATATATATACTGTGCCAGTTTTCAATAAAGTGAGTTCTGTTTTTTTCCCCTAAAGACCTGCCTGGTCTTTAGGGGACGGTTTGGGCTGTAATTATGATTTTTCGGTTCCAGAGTGAAGGAAGCCGATTTCTGACACAGGTTCCCCGGTCGGGGTACCAGGCGGCCCGTCACAAGACCATTTAATGATGGTATTTACAAGGACAAAAGTAGCATAGAATAGAAAAACCTATATCAAGCTTTTTCTACTTTTGGGTTAGAGCTTCTGTTGGGTTATACTCCCAGGGCCGGCCTCAGGCCTTTAGGCACCCTGTGCGAGAAAGCTTTACAGTGCCCCTCAGTGACCACACCCACAGAGTACTCTGTGTCCCCAGTTATTTACAAGCACTGGAGTGATCAGTGTTTATTTAGCGATCCTCCACTGGGCCATGCACAGAGCCGCTGCCATCCTGAAACCGCTTTCCTCCCCGCTCGGCCATCCTTACAGCAGGCAGCGCCCCGCCCCCCCCGCAGGCTTCAGCTGACATTTTCTCTTGCTAAATAAAGGACCCGGAGGTACTGAAAGCTCTTGATAGGAGAAGAACACAAAGAAGAGGAACACATTGTAGGGTTGGGGGAGTAGATTGGACATAGAGGAGGAGATCAGTGACAATAAAATGGAGACAGAAGGTATCATGTACCTGACTGGAGACTCAGCTGAGAAGGGGGCTGCCCATGCACCTCTCGTCCCACACTTATGGAAGTGGTGACAGGGGATGTAAGGACAGAGCGGGGCACAGGTGGCTGTACTGGTGGCTGTCCGGTTATCGAGGAGACGCCTGAGTGCGTTGGACCAGCTGATGAATTGGCAGGACCAGGCTGACACTGGGATCTCTTGAAACCAGAGCAGACAATGGGTGGGAGGCCAACGGAGCACTAGCTGGATGTAGCTGCTCAGGGTACTGATGGAGCGATCCACCAAGTGGCAGGCCAAGAACGGAGTCAGGTTCAAGCTGAGGTCATACACAGGGAGCCGAATCTTGAAGTGCCTCAGTCACAGATCAGAAGCAAGGTCAGGAGTCATACACAGGAGATCAGAGAGCAGAGGTATCAAATCAGAAAGAGGAAACAGAGTGAATGGTCACAAGCCAGGTTCATGCACAGGAAATCAGGATACTGGAACAGAGCACAGGGCACACAAGGGACTAGCTGAAGACCACTCAGCAACTTGGTCATTGCTTGTCAGTTTATATAGGATATCGTGCACGCTATGAGCATGCACCCACACACTAACGAGCGCGACTCCGTACACTCACGTGTGCTATTGCGCATATACGTTCCAATACGCATGCAACCACGTGCTAAAGCGCATTTACCAGGAACTGTCAGCAACGGATTGCATGCTTGTGTGTGTGCGCATGTTTTTGGGCAGGAATCAATCTGCAGATAAGTCTCTTACAGAAGGGGTGCTACAGTAAGGATGGGGGATAAAGAACAGAGCACACTGAGGAGAAGAGTGGTGAAGAATGACTGTTGAGCACTGGAGGAGAGATAATTAGAAGGAGATCAGACAAGCAGAGTAAGCGCTCCTGGAGATTGGGGTCATAGTGAAAGTGAGTACAATACTAAAATTGCTAGTGGAGTCAGAGAGAAGGTGGCTACGGAGGAGGGGATCAAAGCTGAGAGTAGGCCATTGGAACCCTGAGAAGAGCAGAGAGGTAGGTGGTGCATGTTCCCTGAGGGTAAAAAGCTCAACATGTGCAACAACCCTCCAATACCCCTGATATGAAACAGGAAGTGTCCTTCTCCCTTTAAATGATATAAGGAGGAAGGATGAGCAGCAGCATCTGTGACTGTAGGCAGCTATAACTTCCATAACGCAGATGGCTAACTGTTCAATATTACAAATGAAGGGCATTGTAGACAGCCCGTGCTCAGCTTCTTCCAGCCTAATAGTGAGCATTGCTCTTTTCTGCTGAATTTAACAGAATCCGGAGACAATCAGAAAGTCTATGTGTAGAGCCAGCTATACATTATGCAATATGAATAATGGTTGTATTGATATCCTGATGCAATACTTGGCTTTGGGGATTTGTTTTCGGAAATTTTTGTCCCTGGACCTGCTGCATATTATGCTCCTATATTTCTCTACTGTACAAGCTACTTTCATTTATTATCTACTCATCCTCTTTGGTCCCTTTTTTAAGTTAATGTTTGTTATCGTAAACCTGTACTTTGCCCAACTGTACATTGCCCAACCTGTACTATGCCCAAGCAATGGAAAATTCCTGATTGACCGTCTGTTCAACAACAATGAAATATAAACCGCGCGTGGTTCCTATCAAATAAGACAGTGATCAGTTATAATTATGACTTGGATGAAGATAAGATCAAAGTTTAGGTGTCATTCATGTCCATCCATAAAATGTCTAAAGTTTCACAGACCTTCGCCCAATGTATAACACATTTTAAATATATCTTGAATAAGGAATGCAGTTTATGGGCCGGGTTTGATTTATCTACTAATTAGGTGTAGTAAAAGCTCTTCCATGAAATGTTCAGTTTTAACCTCATATCATATAATAAATTGACTTTCTGAGTCATAACAATACCGCATATTTTATTCTAATGGCGCTTACATGGTTGAAGGATAAGACCTTTGCCACTCTTTGGCTCCTCTATAAAACCATATAGAGACCATCAGCTTGTGCAGATCATGTCCTGATTAGGAGGATTATTATGTGACTCTTACTCTGTTTATAGAGGCAATTAA